AGAAAATGTTTTTCTGTTGTTCAAGCACCCCAGTCTGTGGTGGTGTTATGGCAGCCTGAACAGACTAAGACAGTCCCCAGATTGATCTATAGATTCAATGCGATTCCAATTAAAATCTCAGCAAGCTGAGATTTACAAGCTGATTCCAAAACTTATGTGGAAATGCAAGCAAACAGTCAAAACAATTTTGAAAAAGTAGAAACTACATAGAACAAAAAGGGCTCATTTGTACTTTAAAGCTGCAGTGACCCAGATGCTGGGGTGTTGGGGTGAGGACAACCCTAGGGCAGCTATGCAGAGGAGAGTATCCAGAAATAGACTGAAAGAACTACAGCCTGGGGATTTAGCATTATTTGATGGAGACAAAAAAGCCTTCAACAAATGATGTTGGAACGACAGGAGGAACACATGGGGGGAAATGGTCCTCAGCCTGTTCCTCACACCACACACGTTCATTGCAACGGGTTACAAACCTAAACAAAAGCTAAAACTAAGTCTTCTAGAAGACAGAGGAGAATATGATTCGGACCTTGGAATGGGCAAATATTTCCCAGAACACAAAAAGTCATGAGCCATAAAAGTTAACTGAACTTTACTAAAAATAAAACCTCTGCTGGTCAAGTAATAGGCAATAAAGTGCAAATACATGTATCAGACAAAGGATCTCTGCCCCAGATATATAAAGTATTTCTACAAGGAAAATAAAAAGGTCATCCAATAAAAAATGGGCAGAAGACTTGAACAGTTACAGGACTAACTACTCAGCACATCGGAAGGAGCTCAGCATCCTTGGCCATCGGGGAAACACACAGTAAGCCCGCAGAGAGGTGCCGGCACATACCCACCTGAGCAGCTAACGCAAAGAATGACTCCACCAGGTGCTGGCAAAGATGCGGACGAACTGGAACGCTCGCACGTACACCGTTACCAGCACTTTGGGAAAAGCCTTGGCAGTTGTGAAGGTAAATGTATCACAGCAGCATGACTCAGTTATCCTACTACCAGACATTTACTCAAGAGAAATGAAAATAATGTCCACGAAGAACTGTTCCAGCAGCATTCATAGCAGCTTGATTTATAGGAACTAGAAATGACACAAACCCAATGTCCACTGAGGGGAGAACGGACAGCTTGTGGTGCACGTGGCGTGGATTACTCCTCAGCGATGCAGGAGGACCACGGACACACGTAGCCACGGGGATGCACCTGAGGCAGCTGCTGAACCAAGTCAGGCACAAAGGAGCACATCGTCTGTGTTTTGATATACACGAGGGCAAGGCTGACCACCTGTGCTGAGAGAAGTCCCAGTGTTGATTGTATAGCGGGGTGTAGATCGTCTGGGAGGACAGAAGGTACAGCCTCCTGGGCTCTGGGAACGCCATCTACCTGGGCTTGGTGCTTATACCTGGGACATTTATCAAAACTCATCGCACTGTTTCTTGAGGGCCAGTGTATTCCGATGGGTACAACCGCTACGTCAGTTAAGACCCTCAGGGAGCCAACAGCCAACAGAATGTCTCAAGTCCGAGATGCCCGCCCAGTGCCAAGCGCTGGTGGGGACGCAGGGCAGGTGGAGCTGCGTCCAAGGTGGGTGGGTGTGGGCTAGTACAAGCGCTTTGGCCAACCGGCCGTCCGTGTCTACTGAAGTTAACGTGGGACCCAGCAGCTCCACTCAGAACATGGGTGTCCGGCAAGTCCCATGTGAGCTCGTTTGTGGCAGCTTCATCTGCAAACAGCCCAAACCTCCCCAGCGTAGTCGGGACCAATTGCTATGCTCAGCTCACCCTGTGGCTGCCCGGGGCTGCCCCACAGCTGAGCGGCTCCCCCCATGGACGTGGTCCCCGGAATGGACCAGGAGGGACCTGAGGGCAGGAGTGGTGTGTGTGGCTACATGCACGTGCACACATGCAAGTGTCCTCACGACGTTGGGAAGGAAAAGGGGGGGCGGCACAGATGACGGTCAGAGTGAGGCCGGGGGGCCAGGGCAGCATGGTGGGAAGGCATGGTGGGAAGGAGCCGCTGCCTCCCCGCACCCACCCAGTGCTCTGAGCGGGGGCTCAGCGTGTGGGCCAGGTGCTCACTGGCCGCGGGAGGCCACGTGCGCTGGCGCGTCAGGGGAGACCCCACTCGGAGGGCCCAGCCACACTGGCTTCCCCTAAAGCAGAGCACAGCGCCCCCCGCGGGCACTGGAGCAGAACTCTGGGGTGGGGCAACGTGGGGGCCCCAGGACCCACCCTGCCGCGTGGCCGCAGACCGGGGGGCCTGGGGTGAGCAGACACCAGCGAGGGCGTTAGGATGCACAGCAGCTTCTACCTCACACAGACATAAGAAATAGAAAACCCTTTTATTAACAGGTTTTACATTTACAGTTTATTAGCTAATCAACATCAACATGCAAAAATAAGCGCTAAATACAAACCTCTACGGGATGGTTTTGTGTAAACTACAATGGTTCATCTGATTTGAAAAGTCATCGGTGGTTACTCGGACTGAACTACTAGTTTCTGTAACGAACAGCATTAGATCTACAGCTACGGAGCCGTCGGCAAGGCCTCTGCAGAACTCGGTCCAGTGGATTTCCACGTGAATACATTCTCAAGCAGGAAATAAGGCGCACGAATGACGTGACATTGAACCTAGCACACCCTAAGCCGCCCCAGGGCGGTGCAGGTGCAGCCCTGTGGGCCGCCGGGCGGGGCGGGGCGGGCGGGAGGAGGCGGGGTCGGGGGCGCGGGAAATACCGCCTCCTGTTTCCGAAGCGGCCGAAGCTCCCTCAGCGGCGGCGGGAAGGTCTCTCTGAAAGGGGAAGGCGGCAGGTAGCTCACGCGCTTCGGAGTCCTACCAGCGGAAAGGCTGTCCCCAAGCACAGACGTGCGGATCCGACTCCTCCCTCCATCGGAGTACCCATCGGCGCTCACTGATCTTTGGTCGCAAGAAACAGAAACGCAGGCGGGCGGGGGCGCGCGGGGCGGCCCGGCCTACATGATGTACACCTTCTCGGCTTGGGAGAAGTGGAACACTTCTTTGGTCCTCGGGCAAACGACTTTGTCATCTTGACGGATAGACAACAGAGACTGAAAAACAATGGGGGGGGGGAGGTGCGGCGCATGAGCACACGGACCGCGCGCGGGACCTCTCCGAATGCTGCCTCCGGGAGGCCCGCCTGCCTGCGCGCCCTGAACCTAAGGCTTCTCGACCGCCGCCCGGCTCTCCAGGGGCAGCGCAGGGCCGAGCCGCCCACACCCGGGGACCACGCCCGGGGACCACACCCCGCACCCCACACCCCACACCCAGCGCAGCTGCCAGGCACCTGGTGCAGACCCTTAGGACGGCCAGGCCCACCGCCAGCCGCCCTCCCCTTCCGCCCCACCCCTTCCTGCTCCCGCCCCCCGCCGCGGCCCCCAAGGCCCCTCACGTTGTAGCCGTAGACGTAGCCGTTGGGCAGCATCATGGGCGGGTTGTTTTCGTTCATCACGTCGCCCGAGATCTTGCAGACCAGGCGGGAGTTGGCGCAGTGGGCCATGGGCAGGGGCTGCGCCAGCTTGTTCAGGGAGCGGCTGCACACGGGGCAGTCGGGGCTCTTGGAGCTGCCGTCCTCCTTGTAGCACTGTCTGTGCTCGGGTTAAGGAAGGGTCTGGGGGGGGTGGGGGGGCACCGTGCAGGCTGAGGCCACCCAGGCTGCATGGCAGAAATCAAGCCACAGCAAACACCGCATCCAGCAGGAAAACAGTCTGAGGCCAGTGCCCCTCCCAGCCGGGGGACTCCGCCGCCCCCGCCCCTGTGCACCTGCCACGTTCTCACGCACCTGAGCCCACGCTGGGTCCCATCACACAGATGGCCACGAAAGCCAACAGCCCAGGGTCCCACGGGGCCCACATGCCGCACTCGAGAGAGACCCTCGGGTGCTGGGGTCCCAACCCCGCAGCTCTCCGGCAGCAGGGGAATGGCCGCTGTGCCACACACATTTTCAAAGACACTGGACCGGGGGCGGCCAGGGCTCAGAGCAAGAGAAGTTTGAGGGGACTCTCAGGAATCCCACAGGGAAACTTCCAAAAGGTGCCCAGTCCCAACTGCCAAAAGGTGCGCCAACACCAGCCTCCGACCCGCGAGCAGTGTGCCAGGCAGCGTCTGGGACTGCGTGAACGCTCAGCGAGGCTGCGTGCAAAGGTTTCCACAGACCAAGGGGAGAGGCTCAGCCCCACCACCACCCCGAGGGCCTGAGACGGAGACCCCACAACACAAACCAAGAGCACAGGTCTCAAGTTGGGAGCGGTGCAGCACCTGCTTGCTCGCTGGAGGGCAGAGGACCCCAGACAGGGACCACGACTAAGGAGGACGGAGCACGCGGGCGCCCTTGCCCGCCAGAAGGATACGGTGTCTTTATCGCCGAGAGGCCGGCCTGCAGCGTGAGGGTGAACACAGAGTTGTTCCCCAGCTGGTGTAGCCGGTAGTTGTCGTACCGGAACTGCTGGATCAGCATCCGCCACCGGGCGGGGTCCAGCAGGTCCTGGAAGAGACAGGGCAGAGCGGTGCTGGGGACGGCACAGTGCCGTCCCCGACAACAGCACACAAGAAACCCTTCCCACGCCGGCCTGGGCCCCACAAACCCGCGCCCACCGGCCACAGAGCAGTGCGGGGCGCCTGCAGCCTGGACTCCCGAGTCCGCGTAAGGACCGCCGCCACGTGGTCTGCGTGGACACAGATGCTCAAGGGTTGGGGGGGCCTGTGGCCTCACGGCAGGAAGGGAACACAGTGGGCCGAAGAACAGCACTGAGGTCTCGGGGGGAAAAGTCTCACTCCAGAACCTCAGGCCTGGTCAGTGTGTGTCCCCGGGCTTCCCAGGTTCAGAGTCAACAAGAGAAGGGAGGGGAGGGCGCATGCCAGCAAGAGGGAAACTCTGCACGTCAAGCACTGGGGTCAGGGCCCCACACTGAGGGAGGAAGCGTGGGCACCCCCGTTCAGCGGGGCTCCACGGGCAGACATCACGCTTAACTCCAACATTACAAAAACACAACTTTAATGTCGTTTTTATCGAAGCAAAGTCCACAGAGGACCAAGCCCAGAGTCCAGAGGCTCTGCATCCCCCCTCCCTGAGACCCCTGGCCTTGGGCCTCTGGTGCGGCCACCTCTCCCTGACCAGGGCACGTCGTCCTGCTTCTCGTGTGACCCACTGAGACACACCTGCCACAGGGGGTGAGGGCTCTGTCCCCGCCCCAGCACTGCCCTTCAGGGTCCCGTGCCCCCACCCGGCGCCATCCCCTCTGTGTGCACCCTGGCCTTCCTCCGGTGTGCCGTCCGTGTCCAGGTACGAGGCTGTGCGTCGATGGGCTGTGCCTGTCCCCCGCCGGCCTTGGCTCCACAATGGCTGCGTGGCTTCTCTTCACGCCGCCTCGGTGCCTCCGAGGGCCGGCCCTCCGGCTCGGGCGGAGCACTGGCCTCGCTCTTCGCAAGCGGGACGCCTCACTCCCCAGGGCAGGCCCTGACTGCACCTCTCACAAAGCTTCTCCAGAGCAGGGAAGAGAGACCGAAGAGGCTGCCAGCTGAAGTTCGGTCTCACTCTGGCAAGATCCCTGTGACCGGAGGGCTGATTACAGGACGTTCCGACACCACAGAGCTGTGTTGAGTCCAGTCTCGAGGGACACGCTTCCAGCCGCCCTGCAGACGGCCTGCGGCCGAGCACTCCAGCCAGCGGGGGTGCCCCTGGGCAGAACCCACCATCACGGCTCAGGGAACAAGCCCGGCTCAGCCCACAGGGAAGGCAGTTTACTTCAGTCCTTCTGGGGGATGGCTGGCAGCCGGGGACGACACCGTGGTTGAGCGTCTTGTGTCCCCCACTGTTGACGCTGTCGGCAGGTGGACCTCCGGGCCCACAGGGTCCTGAGGGTGGGGTCTTCAGGAACTAGTTTCCTCATAAGAACACACAGGAGGAAGAGCCCCCCGCAACCTTGCCAGTGCCCTGATCTCGGGCTTCCCGACCCGAACCTGTGGGATTCTGTCACAGCAGCCCAGACAGACGACAGAAAACTGAGGGAGGGACTGAGCCACAAACACCTAAGACGTGGACGCGGCTGGGAGGGCCCCAGTCTCCAGCAAGAGCGGGCCTGTCATAGGTGGCAGAGAGCCCGGCCGCAGCGGGGGAAGGCGGTGCCTGTGTGTGAGGACACTGCACCTGGGGCTGCAGCGTCCCAGGCAAGCGGCTGGAGGTGCACCTAGCTTCTCTGCAAGCCTTTCCACTAAACGTGCGGACAGAAAACGGACCTCGGGGTGGGACTGCTCGTCTAAAGAAAGCAAAACTTGATGATCTGGAAACTTCCATCTGTGTTGCGAAAAACGAGAAAGCTGCTCAGAGAGAACACTAAGGTCAGAGCCAAGCGAGCCTTTCTAAGGACACCAGGGCGGGCGTGACCAAGGGCTGATGGCCAAGGGGCCCCCAAGGGCGAGGAGCCAGGAGGAATGGGGGAAGGCTGCCGAACTCCTAGGTTCTCCAGGACGGCACCGTGAGCAGTTCAGCTGCAAACATCTGACAGTTTTCAAGACAAGGGAAGAAGGACCCCAAAGGCGGATCAGAGATTACCAGGGCTGCCCCGAGGTTTCCAAAGGGGAGCCGGACACCGGACACACTGCCCTGGCAACGCCGAGCAGGCTGGCTAGTGATGCTGCGTGACCACGCCCGCCCAGACCCCACGTGGACCCCCAAGGCCAAGGGGAGCAGGGGAGAGAGGACGGAGGTCAGGAAGAACACTGGCAGCGAGGGAGACAGGGAGGGCGACAGGTGGAGGCACTCAGAGCTGAAGTCCCTCCTAGGCTGAAACCTCTCATGTGCGGTTCTGATCCAAGCTCCTCACCGGCAACAGGGAGCAAGAAGACGGCAAAAGCCCACATGGTGTGCTGGTCACACGCCCAGGCCCTCCCCAGCCCCGGGGGCCCACAGGCATGGCTTACCTTGTAGGGCGAGATGTGCGTGTCTGGTGGGAAGGCCAGCATGCCCATGACCTGGCGGACCTCGTCCAGCTGGCTCCCTTCGGCCTGACTGAAGTGCTTTCTCGCGTGTCTAGAAAACATTTCAGGTCGTCTGAGTTTGCCTTTTTACCTTCAAGAATCTATGCGCAGCACATGCCACACCCTCAGTACCAAGTAAGCCCCATCTCGTGTGACCTGGGCCAGGGTCTGCCACAGCTCAGCCAGGCGAGGGTCCCCCTCCTCAAGGGGAACAGGGAGGGGGACGAGGCTCGAGGCACCAAGCACAGAACCCCATGCAGAAAACACCCAGAGGCAGTGGCCCAAGCCCTTCCAAGTGACCCTGGTGGACGTGAACCCAAACCCCGACGACACAGCCCTGGGAGGACCCAGAGACAGTCCGGTTCTCCCAGTGCTGCAATTAAGTCCCCATCCAACTCTCAGAGACACAGAGCCCACCCCCCACCCCTGGGGTGCACAGACTGGGCTCGAGCCGGGCCTTCCTGCACTGCCTGCACCTGAGAGGGAACCCATGCTCCCATACCCGCATACCAGCCTCCTTCCCAAAGGCTCCCCCTGCCCACCCCAGGGCCAGCACCGTTCTGGGGTGGGTGCACACAGCCGTAGAACCAGGGGCCCTGAGCCCACATCTTAAGTCGGCCTCGTGCTCTCTGTCCGGTCAGGGCAGACCTGCTGTACACTCCACACTTCATCCCCTAGAGCCCTTCAGAAGGCCTGCCCCATGAAGTCAAGGAGGCCGTCTGCCCCCTCTCCACGTACCTCACGGCGTCTAGTCTCTTGTTCTGCCGGATGAGCTCAATGAACTCCTGAATCCTCAGGCTAAACTCCAGGCAACTCTGGGGGTAAAGACAAGACCAGGCTTGGGGAGGGTCGCCACAGAGCCATGCCCACGGGCTGACCCCTCCAGACCAGCTGGACACTGCACACTCCGCCAAGGAAGCTTAGAGCCACCGGGGAGGTGGGTCTGATACCCAAACTGTAACTTCAGCCTGCAGTCAACGCTCCCCTGGCTCTGACGGCACCCGGGCCCAGCGCTCTTGCCGCAGCAGGCCCTGAGCGCGTACCCACCGGCCAGGCGTGGGAACGAGTCACCCGGAGGAGGCTGCAGGGCGTCAGCAATTTGGAGGGCGTGAGACGTGACTTCCCACGTGAAACAAGGGAGCCCAAGAAGACAAGTTTCCAACCCCTTTACGAGGACCAAGCAGCTCTCTGGATTCTGTCTCAGGGTCATAAAGGTATAAAAGCATGGGGACGTGCCCTCAGAGCCTCAGATGGCCTCAGAACCCCGTGTGGCACACATTCCACCCCGACCTGCTCTGGGAGAGGGAGGCCAGCCCCAGCGTGAGGCCCTGACCCTGGTGGGAGGAGAGGCTGCTGGGAGGTGGCGCCTCACAGAGGAGCGGGAGCGGGAGCAAGGCACGCAGAGCCGGTGAGAGAACCCAGGTCCCTGAGCAGGGACGCGGGGTGGGGATGAGGTGGGGACAGTCCGCGGGGACGCCTGGGGAGAATGTTCCAGGCAGAGGAAGAGCCAGTTCAAAGGCCCTGGGGAGGGTGGGCGGAACCAGGAGGAGCGCAGAGCTGGTGAGAGCCGTCCAAGCACACAGCGGAAGCCCCAGGGTTTGCGGAGGTCGCGAGGGCGCGAGAGGTCTGGGGCAGCGGCTGCTAGAGGACGCATTGCTGTGCCAGTCGGCTGCGTGTCTGACAGGCATCTGTCCAAACACGGCACGTGCGGCTCTGAGGGGACGCTAGCAGGGTGCGTCACCAGCGGGATCATTTGTATGGAAGCCCCAATGCTAACTCTGCAACCGTAGCCATGTCAGTCCAATTTGGGTTCAAACTCTTGTGGCTGGGGATGGGGGAAAGCAGGCAAAGTTAACTTTCGTAACCTAAGACGAAAACTGGATTATTTTACAAAGATGGTAATTTAGAAAACACTAGGTATTTCCAACCAGATACAGAATACGTGGAATTAACAGAACAAGAAAAAAATCTCTGCGTTTTCCACTCATTTGCCATTTTGCCTTCCACAGCACCTGGATCACAAGATGACGTGGACAGATAAGTCTACGAGGCAAGTCTGTCAGTCAACCCCAAACGTCTAACCCTTACGCTCAGGTTTACCAGTCATGTGGACGGTTCCCACCCGGGCCTCCAAGCGTGTGCACTGGCATTCTGATGAAGCAGCTCAGCCAGGCCCCTGGGTAGGCGCCCTCCACCAAGCCCCCAGCCCTGTTCCAGGGACACGAGGGTGCAGCACACGGGCTGATGGGACCTACCTTGGGGCCCACCCGGCCGTCAGAGGCAAAGTTGCAAGAGAGCCACCTACCTGGTGCCCAACACGTCCACACCACAGGTGTGCAGAGCAAGGTGTGTCTCCCTGCCCCGGCCCCCTCCTCCCCTGCCCTCTGCACCAAGGCGGCAGTCTGTCCTGACCCCCAGCTGGACGGAGCCGAGGCCATGTGCTGAGCGGCAGCACAAACCAGCCCCAGTGATGAGTTCCCTTCCAAGGCCAGACCAGCAAGAGGCGAGGGGCAGAGGGCAGCGGGGAGATGCCCTGCCTGCCTCCCCAGGGCTCCGGGTGGTCGCCGCTTCCGTGTTCAGGGGACGCCAGGGGCTCTACCAGCAGCAGGAAGCCCCCAGGTGGGCATTCCAGACGAACAACGTCCTGGTAAAGTCCCCACGACTAACATGTCTAAACATGTCCCACTACTGTCACAGCTCTGCTCTAGCAGGTGACCTTCCAGACAAATACATGTGTACCAAAACCTAGGTACTCAGACTCAAACATAAAATACCACGATTCCAGGTGGTCACGCCAAGCACGGAGGGCTGAACACACCCTTCCCGCTCTAGCTGGGGGGGGCCTGGAGCAGTCACGTTCGTGACCATTCGGCTGTCCCAACACGCAGCGCGCGTATTGTTGCTTCGGCTGTCCTTAAGCATCTGGAGACAGGAGTCAACCCAACAGATATTCACCGGTCACCTTGCAAGTTTTTTCCAGCTATGGGAGACTTGGTCTCAGTTTCTTTTCTTGCCTAGAGTCTCACGACTGACGCGAGGGATCCGTGGTCGTCGGGCACGGCCCCCCCCGGCGTCTGTCCCCTCCCCGGCCTGCGTGTGTGAGCTCATGCATGTAGGCACACGTGTGCACGCTGTCTGGGCACGCTGGGGCCCCACTCTGTTCAGTTGACAGGTTATAACAAGCACGTTCTCAGGTCATTAGCTGGTCTTCCCAACACATTTTGGGATGGCTAGTTACACTCTCTCCAGTTGAATGGCCAGCTGGCGTGGATCCGGCCGCCCGCCCTCCCGCTCCCACAGCGGCTGCGCGGCCCCGCCTGGACCCGGCTGTGCAGCGTGCCCTCGCCAAGCAGCAGTGTTGACTGGAGGCAGCAGGGCTTGCAGAAACCACCTGTCGGGACGGGGGCCTGCTTTCCTTCTGACCTGGTTCCCACCGTGTGGCACAGCTGTGGGGGCTGGAGCAGGAGAGCAGGGTGAGTGTTACATACCAATTCTGGCTTTCCTTTTATGGTTTCCATACCAAGATCCTCACTCTCTTTAGGGGAGCCACTGGCCACTCTACTTTTCCGTCCCGTCTTCGCGTCGTGCTCGCTTTGGCGGCCCTGAGTGGCAGAGAGCGTCACCCTTGGCTGGTGACTATGTGCACACAACAAGCTCAACCGGGGAGAGGTTAAAGGCACTCGGTTTAGAAAACAGAAAACAAACAGTTTTTCTAACGGAGGCAGGGGAAGGTTAATAGAAGTTAAACATTTCTGCAAGCCCCAGGTGACAACACCTTTCAGTAAGCATGTTTAGGTTCTCTAAGTCATGACTAAGTATCTGTTCTGGAAGCTGCCGTGGGTCTCAAGAAAAGCTGTACTGGAGAGGATCCCAGCCTAGAACTCTGCACTGTTGCAGGTGGACAGCACTTCTGGACCGGGCTTTCCTGCATCAGGGACTGAGGGGTCGGGGGGCAGGACGGACCCAGCAGCGGGCGGCTAACAGCTGAGCACACGCGGGCAGTCGGCACCTCGCTCCTTCAGAACCCCATGCTCAGAACACTTGTCCAAACCATAATGCAGAAGTGGGTGCACTTTTTAGGGATTTCACCTCAAACCCAAACACCACGACCAAAAAATAACCCCGAACTCACACCAAACCCAACAACCCCCCCGTCTCAACCAGAAGCACAGAACTCTGAACCAACAGGTGCAGGCGCGTTGGTTGCGGGCAGGTGCTTGCCCCGCCCAGAGCACCCCCCCCCCCCCCCCCCCCCG